TTGGGAATCCCTGTTAATGTCACTTCTCTGCAACAAATGTTCATTCGTCGATATAATCATTTAACTCATCCGAAATAGAAAATTTTGAATTCGGACGAATGCGAATACTGAAACAAATTTTATTTCGGGGGAGGGGGGGGGCATAAAAACTGGAGCAGACAGAATTGGGAGTAGTTGCCAACAGCAACTAATCAGCTTGTCTCTTTCATTTTCAAAGCTTAGGTCCCTGTTCACACACAGGCTTATTGGGAACGCTTTGACTCGCATTTACAAAACGCACACCCCATTAGCACTGATGCGTTTATCGTGCAGTTGACTTTGTCCAGGATATGATCCTTGCCTGGCATAGTGACTGTACTGTTTTTTGTTTTTTTACAACGCACATCCTGAAGTGCATTAACATGCATTTTGGTGCATATTATTGGTAACTTCTTGATGCTCACATGTGTTTTGTACTATGCATTTTTTAACATGTACATGTGCTAGCACCCATATATTTTTATGCAATCTCGTTGGGACCCATTTTACTATTATTTATCAAAACTGGGGCAGACAGAATCTAGAGCAGTTATCTGTGACAACCAATCGGCTTCTCTCTTTCATTTTCAAAAGTTACCTGGACAAACTGAAGCGAGACGCTGATTGGTTAGCATGGACAACTGCTCCAGATTCTGATAAATTCCCCTCATGATCTCCTAAGTCTTAGAACTCCATGTATTTGTTTTTATTCATTGGCTCATGCATGTTCTTAATTGTTTACTGCTCTTCAGTCACGTGACTCTTCAGCAATCACTGGTCCAGTTGCTTATGGGCAAAGTGACGCTAAAGATGCTGTCAGCACTGCGCATGTGCCAGCTTCTTAAGCCTCCCATTCACAGCACAAGCATCTCTGTAATGGATATCTGCTCTCACTTGGGAGGACAGGCAGGTTCCACGCCCCCTCAGAGAGTGTGTGCTGCACATCCCCCTAAACGACGAGCAGTACTACAAATCTCAACAAAACATTAGGCACTGTTAGGAGGTGGGCGGCACCTCTACACCGGAGACCGCCCAGGGGAGTGTGCTTGTGCTCAATATGACACCAGGCCCGTCGTCTCCACGCCCAGGGGGCGGGGACACAAGCTAGAGCCAGCTGTCGAGTTCTGAGCGTCTCATTGCCATGGATACCACGCCTTCCTTCTAGCTGCACGGCCGTGGCTGACTTCCTGAGACACCTCCTCATCAAACCTAGTAATGTAAGCCTTCTCGTTGATTATTATGCCTGATGGATGGATCTTATATGTCCTTATGCAGCCCTATTTGATCTTGTGTAATTACAATATGTTTTAACAGGTAAATGGAGGGAATGTGACGTTATGGTGACGTCATGGGGATTTGCAAGGTGTACTGAGATTGGTTTATTGTATTCACTGGTGTATTTAAGTTTGCTGTGTTCTTCATTCACTATCACACTGTTTGCCTAATGAAGGGACCCCATGCAGCCCTGATATGTCGTTGTTTGCTTTGTGATATTGTGAACATGCTTCAATAAAAGACATATTGCATGCCACCGATTCTTCTTTTCAGACGTGCACGGACGCTTGGGAAAAAGAAAGGAGGACGCATGTCACAGAATTTGTTACATGCACAGCTTTTCCTGATTTGTTTTGCGCATTTGAACTAATTGGGGACATGCACAAACTCAGGAAACAAACGTCCACAAATGAGTGTCACTGCGATGCATGTTCCCGCTACGCCTTTGTGTGAACAGTGCCATACTGAGCAAACGGAAAGAAGAAGCTGATTGGTTACCATAGACAACTGCTCCACATTCTATGAATTCTCACCTGGCAGTCAGACCTGGAACACCCCATGGATCTTAGCACAACACTTTCCAGGCACATGTGTTGCATGATTGCCATTTCACTGACACGTTCCCAGCAACGGGGGGTAGACACAGCAGACCGCCTGAACACAGGCTTCCCTATGTCTGAAAAACTGACAGGCGGACATGAACGGAAGCCTGATGATAGTGTATCCCTTTATATCTGGGTGACCCCCAAATTTTGCTTAGCAACCGAAGTGAACCCCCTAGCAAGAAGACAGCATTCCATAGGAGGGTGCTCTTGTATGTCTGCATACCCGTGCCATATGCTGCTACAACCACTATGTACTTCTTCTATACAGTGTACTCATGTTTACATAAAAACATAGTAACAAAACAGGCTCTGCTTCCTGGACTGATTAAACACACTATAAGGTTATCATTTCAGTGCTTGGGCTGTAATTGCTTTCTGAATTCAATGTTATTAAAGAAGAACTCCGGACAAAACTTGTATTAACTTTTGTAGTGGGACTACCTCTGCTCTGTAAGGGTTAACTGCTAGTTTTTTGTCTCGGTACTAAAAAAAAAAAGTAGGGATGCACCAATACCAATATAGGTATAGGTGCAGATACTGGGCATTTTCACGAGTACTGAAAAAAAAATTATACCTTAGGCCCTGCTCTTGCTGGGGACCTCATAGCAACCTTCTTTGCAACCACGTGGTGACTATTTACTGCTCTTCCACCGGCCCGCACATATCCATCTCCTGAGACCCTCAACTCTATAGCCCTAGTACTCTATAGCTGGTGGTATTATTCTGCATTGCTGTATAATGTATTGCTGAGATTTGTAGTACTTTATAGCTGGTATTATTCTGCATTGCTTTTTAATGTATTTCTAAGATTTATTGTCCCTCTACAGCTTGGAGTCAGAGTCCAGGGTCGCAGCAGTTGCACTTCAGCACTTTCCTATAATCATTGGTTGATATCGTTTTAGAAAATCTGTCACATGACAGTACTTTTTTTTAGTAATTGGTTCCGGGGAGTATTTGAGGAAATGTATTAGTACATGTGAAATGGTATTGGTGCATCCATAATTATAATTGGGTTTGATAAGGAGTTGCGCTAATATCATGTAACATACAAGTTTGCAACTGCCACCATTTTGTTCTACAAGGTCTGTGCTTTCAGGAAATATATATATATATATATAATTCTGGGGGATTTAAGTAACGCTCAGGCCTAAAATGTGGATTATCTTGTGTGCACAAAACACTCGGGCAGCAAAAGGTTAAAGCCGTGGTTCTCAACTGGTGGGTCCCGACCCAAAAGTGGGTCGTACCCCTGTGTTCAGTGGGTCTCCGCATGACTTCCACTGCGCTAGGTGAGAGACTCTTCAGCCTCCCCCGAGCGCAACACTGTCAGTTCTCGCACCAAGCAGCCATTCAAAATATGGTGTCCGGTGCTGAGTGTCAGCTTGAGGTGGGTGAGCTGGGGGGGAGCTGACTGTGAGGGATAGGGCTGCAACAACTAATCGACATAATCGATTATAATCGATTATTGAAAAAGTTGTCAACTTTTTCAATAATCAGGGACCTCCATCCGTACGTGCATTGCTTACAGCTCCCTCGCATTCCATGTAGAGGGGCCTGGACTGGAGTGATCTGCCACAATGTCGCCCTGATGAAGGGACCCTGCGCAGCCCAGAAACATTGGCTTCTTGACGCATGTGACAAATCAATAAAAGTGCTATCCTTTTTGCACATTACAAGTGAGTGCTGGTGACTTCTATCTTTAGTTGGACCGTAGTGATCTCACATTCTGGCTCTTGGTACCTCTACATGGCACGCAAGGGAACTGTACATGCAATGCATACACGGAGGAAGCTCTGTCACAGCATTACAGGACCCCAGGCTGAGGATCCACTCCAGTTCTCGTAAGGTTAGAAGACTCGGGGAATCTTTAAAAAAAAACTTTTCTTTTTTTTTTGGACTGTGTATGTGTGTGTGTGAGAATGTCTGTGGTTGTATGTGTCTGTTTTTTAGGGCCCGTTCACACCAGTACAGTGCGTTAATCACACAGTCCCGTGTGATTAACACACTGTACCACGCAATCGCACCGACCACACGTTCTGGTACAGGCGGTGCGTTGCCATTCATGTGAATGGCACCCCAAACGCCCCTCCCGCCCACAGTTTGATCACCCGCACCGTAATGCTCTGCATTCTAGTGCGGTGCGACTTGGGTCGCAACTTAATGACCACGGACAAATGTGGATTCTGAGGTTACACAGGTTGAGAACTACAGGGTTAAAGCATATCTAAACTCAAAATCTAAATATGAATATAATGTAGCTTACTAGCCCATAGATTAAGTGGCTGCATTCGTTTTGGGGGTTTTTTCAGGCTTTCTTCCTTTTATTTTCACCTGGTGATCCTGCCAGTAACACACTTTCTGTCCCTATGGAGGGAGTAACGGTTGTCACACAGGCTGGACCTCAAACATGTCTGCCATAAAGATAAGGTTGTATGTCCACAGGAAATGACAAGGACACTGCATTTCTGGTGAGGTGAATAGGTATTTTGTGTACTCGCTGAAAATGTTCTTAGCCTGAAAAGTGAACACTAATGCAGCCAAACACATCTAAAGACTGGCAAGCTGCAACATGTTATGTTTTTGGGGTTTAGATACATTTAGCACTTGTTCCCTTACATTTCCTTACACAATAAGGAGAAAATTGTCATAGAAAGCACTCTTTGGCTAGTTTTAGTGCTCATGCACACGGGCACAAATACAGCTTCAAATTTACTTTTTATTTGTGGAGCCCGGGAGCCCCAGCCACGCACGTACCGGCATTTAAACACACGCAAAGGTGTAACTTTCCGAACACAAAACTTCAAGTCATTTTCTTCTTAAATGTGTCCATGTAAATCCTGATGTGTTCTGTTTTTTATAGGTATATTGTTTCCTTTCCTGGGATAGCTTTACACCGAAAGCATATAACCAATATAATGGAGACTATATTTCAGTTGTCTGCATATGTTCTGCACATATGTTCTTCTATGTTACATATGTCAAAATGTTCATATATATTTCGAGTAGGAATACACATCCCCCCTCTTGTCTCGTACATCCCCTTGATCATTTTGTTCCCTTTCATTGGATCTCCCTACTCGCTGAGTCTGTGGCATCCTCACACACAGCGTGGGGAGGGGGAGTGAGCAACGCTAGCCTCAGTCACTGCACAGTCACATCCCTTAGGCTGCACATCAGCACATTGGTCTTTCCTAATTCATCTCCCATTGTGGTTCGATTTGTCTCTGGAGTATCATCAATTTCTTACCCTCCCTCACTGCTTTTTTCAGGGGGAGGTAAGAGGGATTTAAAGCCCCGAAGATGGCGACCGGGATGAGCTGGCAGCAGCAACAGCATTATTACGGCGGAGGGGCTTCTGCCAGCGCTGCCAAGTTTGTGCCCTCGTCTCCTGGTGTGATGGCACATCAAGCCGGTTTGAATATGGAGTACACTGCAGACCTGCACCTTAAGATGAGCAAGAAGATAGCACAGCTGACCAAGGTAACTGACAGTTGCTGATGGGTCTATGATGTTGGAATATTTGCTTATGTTGGCCTTCAGATCATTTCTGTCTAATACCTTACATTGTTGGGGTGTCATTAGTAATATAATACTGGTCAGTTTGTTCAACAATAACATCAGGTACAGCAGAGAGCCATTTATAAGTCATCATATAGTTACTTTGAGGAACTTAGATTTACTTATGCAGTAACAACGTAGTGCTGCAATACCTCCTTTCCATTTCAGCTATACCGTACTGCAATATTCCTCACGGTAGATAAGTGCTAACTCTGCAGGCTTAGATATTCATATAGTTTATAGGTACTCATTTTTTATATTTGTGTATAAATTGAATATCATTTCATGACATATCATTTGGGCAGTACCTAAAATATCCTACAAGTCATTATCTTTTTTTGTCTGTTATTCTTAGATAGTGTTTTGGGTTGTCAGTTTTGCCTGACTGCCCACTAAATACCACTGCCAATAATGAGGACCTCCGCCTCACATGGAGCATATCTCTGTTTATTACTCTAATCTCTCAATGATCTAGTTTGGTTTTCCCTATTTTCTTTGAAGGTTCAACAATGGGGGCCATCTTTCTTTTTGTAAAGAAATGTCTGCTAAATTAATCTTCTATTCCACTTGCCTACGCCTGTGACAAAGAATTTGTAATAGACGGGCACCGTTGTATAAGACAAGAAAAGACCAAAAATAACCAACTAGTATAACATTGCATGCACTACTTAAAATGGATGATTGTAATGACTTGTGACATATTCATTTTAATAAATTATACTTTTTGCATGGTTGCGGACTGTCATATACTATAATGTCTTTAAATATTTTAGATGACATTTGACAAAATGCAAAGTCGCTCTGGAACTAAGATAAAAGAATGACACATACTAACGTACTGATGGTGTAAGTGGAAGCATTATTAGATATGAGCCTTCTTACAGGTACCAGTACCTGATGTGTGCATCAAGCTGGGCACAACTTGTGGATGTTATCTTTTACACATGGCTTGCTTTCTGGAATGCAGAGTACACACTGAACTAGTCAGTGCCTGCCTATAGAATGGAGGCATGGACATGCTCCTTTGGATCCGCCGATAAATGAGAACAGGGCTTTTCCAGTTTCTGTCTAAATACCAGCCTAACCTGTCAGGCCATGCCAAGCCTCCTGTGCCTGATTCCAGCGCTGTCTTCATAAGCCCACTTGCTTCTTTATGGGGAGCCTCATCTGACATAACCAAAATCTTGCACATGCGCTACCCATTCAGCTATCGGGTGAAGTTAGTGAATGATCACTATTGCTTTAAACAGCATGGTTTAAAGCAGAAGTAAAGTCACCAAATGCACTTTCAATAAAATGTTATCCAACCTTGAATGCTTTAATTTGTGCACACTGTAGCCCCCAGCAAACATTTAAAACAGGCTCTGTGTTGCAGCACATGTGAACATTCATCATCGGTCCTGGCATCTTGTTGATGCCAGGACTGATGATGAATCTGTGCATGCGCTGAGCCAAGGTAACGCACTTTCTTTCTCCAGCAGCCAAACTACCTGTTGTGATAGCGGTCATTCATTAGCTTCAGCTGAATGGGTAGCGCATGTGCAAGATTTTGGTTGCCCAAAAAGAAGCCAGTGGGCTTATGAATATAGCATTGGCTTCAGGAACAGAAGTCTTGGCGTGACCTTAGAGCAAATTTAGACTTAATCAGCAAAATTATGATTATAGATAATTAGGGATGCACCGATACTAGTATGAGTATCGGTGCCGAGTATTTGGGTGAGTACTAGCCTGATACTTGAGCTTCCGGTATCAGAAACTAACAGGAGTGGGACACTTGTGACAAGGGAGCATGGAGCCGCCTTCCCGGGCCAATCAGGTAGCCGGGCAGCGTGTAATGACGAAACACTCGGCTTTCTGATTGGCCAGGAAGCTGGCTTCATGCTCCCTCGTGAGGAGCAAGCATGGAGCCAGCTTCCTGAATGAACAAAGAGCAGCCTCCATGCTTTCTCGTCACATAGTGACGAGAAGCATGGAGATGGCTTGCCTGCTAATCAGGAAGCCGGGTGGCGAGTCTTTATACGCCGCCTGGCTTCCCGGCTAATCAGAAAGCCAGGTGGCGAGTCATCACGCGCCGCCTGACTTCCTTAATGGGACTTCTGGTATCGGTATTTGGTATCGGCGAGTACCGGGAAAAAAAATATCAGTACTCTTACTCGAAAAACCGGCATCGGTGCATCCTTATAGGTAATATTTCTAAGGAAAATATTCTGAGTAATAATTTATAGTTCAAAGATGTTCTTGGGTTTACAGTACTTCCACTTTAATATAGTCTACCTATAAAGAACGCAGTTTGTGTTGCTGTGCACAGATTTATTGGTAAACGCACACACAGAAAGCCGATTTGAACTGGACTAAAAGTTGCACATATGTGTATATGTACGTTTAGCCAGAAGGGAAAAGCTAGCTGCACTGACATCCTCAATGGCATGCCAAGTTTAGTTAAAGGCTTTCTTACTCAAATGCACATATCTTGTCTAGGGAAAAAAGTAGATTTTCCATTAATTGTCATCCACAATAATTGGGCAAGACAGTCTTATTCAGCACCATAGCATGAAAACACTTTTCTGAAGACAACCATTTTGAATATTTTATTATGTATTTAAAAGGACATTTAACTGTAATATGTTTTTGCCAAATTTTGTTTTTCAGGTTTAACTTTGTGACATCATTCTGTCAGATTCTATGACCTAGATAAATCAAGGGTGCTGAGCAAAAACACTTATTAGCCGCTATTTGTTTAAGATAGCAGACAAGTCGTTAACCTGTGCTATCACAAATAAATCTAGGCCTGAATGGCTTCCTTATATATATATATTATATGAATTATAATGTAGTGGGACACAATTATCATAGGTATTTAGAACTGCATAGTATTTTTTGTGACTAAATGTGACACATGGCCATGCATCAGCATGTTAAATTAAACATATGTAGTGTAATTGCAGAACACAAAACCAACATGTTGAATATTGTACATTGTGCTAGGCAGCCTGTGAAGGGTAGAGAAAACGAGTTCAACCATTCTTGACCTTTTTACCTCTGCTCCAATGGCTTTCTAGGTTAATGTATTCAAATAGCTGTAAGCAGCTTGATACACATTATTTTATTCATCATTCAGAGATCATTATAGGAAATTACATGTGTTGGGGCATTTATTTATTTCCGTTATCAGTGCTTAAACTGACCTTGTTTATTACGATGTTGAACTAAAGCCAGCTTGTAAAAGAAGCAGATGTAAACTTACCTTTTCAATGGCCCAACACTTTTGACAACACAGCAACACAGCGCATGCTGTGGCTCTCCTGCCAGCCCCCAAAATCTGTAGTGACACAGCAGCTGGCAGGAGGAACCACAGTATTTGACACACCGGGTAGTGTCGGATGCCTGCAGTGGCTCAAGATCTGAGACACATTTGAGTTTTGAAGAATGGGCTGTCATCATGGTAAGTATATACGTGTTTCTTTTACAAGCTGGGTTTAGTTTAAGTTGGATATCATAATGACTGGGTCATTATAAAGCTCAACTCCAGCTTTGGATAAACTAAGGAAGATTAGAACATCTGTCAAATTAAAATTGCTGTTTGTGTCCCCATTTAAGGAAATACCCCACCGCTTCCTATTTATTTGGTATGAGTACAGGAAGTAAAAGGAAGAGACAGACAGCAATTCATTTATTTGAAGTGTGGAAGGGTTAGCACCGCTGTCAGATTTGTATTAAAGTCTGGGACCACATTGTGGAAGAGTTCCTATCACTTTTTGTCTTGATGATAGATGTCAGAGCAAAGAAGTGAAAATCTCCCCAAATGGGACATTAACAGTGATAAAAAAAAAACGTACAAAGTTCCTAAACCTTTCTTACTCTTTCAAAAAACTTTTTTTTTTATTCAAGGTAGGACAAGGAAAGGTTTACACCTATGTTAACTTTTAACTACTGTCTACTGCAGGGGTGGGCAAACTCTAGCCCTACAGTTGTGTTGAAACTACATATTCCATCATGCTTCAGCCTCTGGGAGTCATGTCTGTGGCTATGTGAATCTTGCAATGCCTCATGGGATTTGTAGCTCCACAACACCTGGAGGGACGGAGTGCCCACCCCTAAGCTACTGTCTGTGTCACCATTGGGAAGGTCCCGCCTGGAAGTGTCAGTGAAATCTCCCCAAAGGGAACACAACAGTTAAACATGTTCTTAAGAAGAGAGAGGGAAGGTTAAACATTAGTCAGTAGTAAAGGTGAGGAGCGCTGTACTGTTTTGTAGAGGTTAAATCCTAGGTAGATTGGTTGTGTCTGTGAGAATGTTTTCCAGGCCGTTCTCTAATCTACAGAAGCTTTATCTAAGACCTTGTAGAAATGTAAGAATGAGAGTGCTGAACAGATAGTTTACTTGTCCGGATCAATTTTATTTTTCATCATGCTTTTATCAACAGCAGCCAGAGCGTTTCGGAAGCTCCAAAGGTCCCCCTTCAATGAGGCTTGTGGATGCAGAAACAGTATAAATCTAGACCTGTATGGTTCACAGAAAGAACATTATTACTTCCCTCCAAGTGTGCTTTTAGTCCATACTGTGACAGATGAAACATGATAGCTGCTTTTACTAAATGCAATGATATTTACTGGATCAACTATCTGCTTCCTCATCCTTACATCTTCAATCAGAATATATTTTAAGTCTGTGTACCCAGTGAGGAAATTTCACCTCACTTTCTGTCTGGGTGATGGATGTTATCTTTTTCTTATGACACGTAATAGGCCAAGGTATCTTGGCCATGTTTGTGGGAGGAGTTGCGGCGGCTCTCCTCCCCTTAAGAAGGGAGACAGGGAGCTTCAGGGCACGTCACAGCGAGGTCGCGCGTGACCCTCCCACCCTTCCCCAGGTTCTATCATTTCACTAGAGCGTGCCCACTTATTTGGCACGCTGACCACAAA